AACAGTTCTGTATCTTCCTTTCTCAGAGCCTTTTGTGATGCTCTGCATACCCATGCCTTATAGGACTAAGGAAGAGTTGCATGCGACCTGATCTAGAGACAGCTGATGCAGTAGAATGAACATGGCCTTGAAGGTCCAGGAGATATGGCCTCAATCCCACATTTATGATTTCTGTGCCTTTGAGTATTCTGCAGCCTCACTAAGCTTTAGTTTCCTCACCTGTAAAATGGGTGTATTACCCACTTCCCAATGTTGTTTGGAGAATTTATTTGTTTCCATGTTTATTCCCTGTCTCCTCTGAGTTACAGGTAGACTTCTTAAGGTCTGTCTTATTTGCCTTTATATATTCAGTCCTGGAACTGTGTCTGTCATGTGGTAGGTGCTCAGTAGATACTTGTGATTAGCTTAGAAATTAAATTAGTTGATGCATATAAAATACCAGATCATCTGATTGACACAAATCCAAAAAGTCAGGAAGACCTCTAGAAAGCTTAGGTATTGGCACTAGAATTATAAATTAGCCAAAATATACTAAACCAGAAGTGTTAAATCTTTTTTTTTTTTTAATGCTAGGCATGACATATCAAAACCCTAGGGAACTAAGAAACAGAAACAGGAAATGCAGGAGATAAGTGCTTTAGTAGTCCTTGTTAATGAATAACAGCAAACATAGAGCAGGAAAAATCTAGATGTGTGACCTTCCTGAAATATTTATTTTTTTACTCAAAAACTTTCAGCAGGCACCTACTAAATGTCAGATTCTGTATCCAGAAGCAGAGAAGCCCTAACAGGTTAGGGATGACGTCTCTTTCGGGGAACTAGGAGAGTAGAGGGTCCTATGTTCCATCCTGAAAACGGCTTCATCCTCAAAAGGTCTATTTTGAGAGTTTCATTAGATGGTGCTAGAGTCACCTGTTCTGGCTAAGCTTACTTTATGAACAAGTCACCTGTAAGGATTTCATTGCATACAGAAAGCATGAAAGAAAGGTTCAAGTCAAAGCAAAACGTTGCCAAATGACACTTTTCACACTCTCTCCAGAGCTGACAATGCATTCAAAAGGCTCCATGTGTTAGAGTAATGAGGTTAAGAAGCTCTTCCACTAATACTCTAAGAACTACAGCAACACAATGAGCCAAACCTATCAGATGGACAAACCTCTCAGATGGACAGGACAGATAGTGTAAGGATGATGGTCAAGTCTCTAGAGTACTTCGTTCAGCAGAGGGAGGTTCCAATCTAAGTCATCCGGTAAAAGATGGTCCCATGAAGTGAATTCTCAGTCACTTCCTAGTCTGATGTTCCCTACTGAGTGTGGGTGAGCCTGCACATCACAGAATAATCACATAGCAGGAATGAGACTCAGGTGCCCTCATTAGCAGCACGCCTCTGTTTCTGGATACTTAGGAAGAGTTGAAGGGTTCATCATGTGACTCTCAAGCCAGTGCAACTTCTAAGAGAAGGAGAGAGCTTGGGAGTGTCTGGCCTTTGCCCAAACCTTCTAATTAGCATCAGGTAAAGTCATTTATAAGAGAGCTCGGATGGCTTATCTCTTGTTACAGGTTATGCACACTAGCTTTTATGATTGGAGAATTTTGGCTAAAACTGTGACAAAATCTCACATTGACAGTCTCCTTACCCAAGATTGTGCTGCTTAATTCTTAAAAAAAAAAATGACAGTATAAATTAGTGAACAGATTAGAGTACAGGCTTTGGAGTCAGAGAAACTGGGTTTGACTCTGAAATTAAAATGCATGGCTTTAAGTTACCTAAACTCTCAGAACCACGTTTTCCATCTATTTTGACATCTATTTTGTGAAGCTAAACTTCCACTAGACAATCAAACTTATGCTAAGTACTCAAAATATGATTTGTGCTAATTATTTTTAAAGCAGCCATGAAAAAAAATGAAATGAATTTGGGACATCTAAAAGGTTGACAACATTATTTTCTTCTTCCTTATGAAACAAAATTATTTTAAATCAATTGGGAACATCTTTACTCCTAATCTAATGCTGTCGAGGCATTGCTTGCAGTTTATAAATTCAAAACAAAATAGCACTGTATGCAAAGTGTCAGGACCGTGCCTATTACTAAGGCTTCAAAACCTGCATTTCTTACCCTCTTTTTGGCTTGTTCTTCAGATTTCCCTAATGGAACATTTCAAGGCAGTTTGAAGTTCTAGTGTAGAACCATGAGATAATTGAATTTCATGCAACTTTGATTCTAACCAGTCCCAGCTCCAAATTTAAGAAAGGGAAGAATAATGCCAATAAGTCCTATAAATGATCAACATCTGAAGCAGATTCAAATCAAAACTATTTATCCAGGACTTGCTACAGACAGGAAGCACATATGACATAGTCTGATCACATGCAGTCAAAATTAGGGGTGAAAACAATAGATGCCCAGTCTAGACCAGCAGTCTTTCCAATGTTTCCCTCTTCTCTATCTGTGGCCCCCCTAATATTATGGGGCCAACTAATATGACCTCATGAAGAGAAGGCTAAGGCTGCTCTATTCACTTGCTGCTACCTAAAAGGACAAATGGGCACTAGGGCGAAGGGGAGAAAAGGCCTACCTGTTTGTTTTGTCTGTTTTTCCCCCCAGCATCTTTATTATCATTTGATCGAAAAAGTGACTATTCATTTGGAGAAAAGTAGATCTAAGAACATAGTGTTCATATTTGCAAGTTGGAAAATACACATTGTTTGTTTCTGTTTGTCATGTTATTTTTTTTTAACATGATGATATATTAGTAAGATAGCTTCAGGCATGTAAGAGCATCCTAATCTTGTAGATATTAACTTGATTGAGTCAAAGCTGTCCTTTCAATCAAGCCCCTAGATCTTAAGGGAGAAGTGGAAATAAATTACCCAAAGATCTTGGCTGGTCATTTAAAACATATTTTTGTGTAGTTTTCTATCGACCTGAATAGAAACTTCTTTTTTAACTGTAAACTTCTTTTTTAAACCACTTTTGTAAAATGAAGTCAGATACTTTGAAATGAGTGTTAAACCAAAGCAAATTACAGCAATATGATAAACTGGGTAGAAACTTATTTTGATAAACATCAAGAAATACAAAGGAAAATTAAAAGCTGTGATTTTACCACCTGAATTAACTGTTGTTATATCCAGCTTTTCCCCCATACCTAAGTTTTATCATTGACTCAGTAAATCCCTATTTAGTGTCTACTTGTCCAAGGCACTGTGCTAGGCACTTGGGAATGTTTCTGTAAAGATGAAATACTTTTTATCATTTTGGGGGCTTTTTAAAAATAAGGAGATAGAAATGACATGTATAAAAACTATTTATTAATTTGTCATAAATACTATGTGAGGAAGTTATAGAAGGCACATTGGAGGATGTGATATTCAAACTTCCAATGAATAAGAATTAATAAGAAGAAGAGGCTGGGATGTGTGAGGACACTCTTAGGTAAATAGCATGGTGTTATAAATTGCCTATTGTATTATGGTCTGCATTAAAATCCTCTCATGTCAATATTCTTCTATAGGAGGGGTGGGGAATCTTTTTTTCTGCCAAGGGCCATTTGGATATTTATAACATCATTTGCTTAATATAATTAACTTAATGTAAATTTATGTTGCTATGAAAAAAGCTCCTAGATTTATTGAATTTCGAGTCCCGCCTGTGGTTGCCTTGGCAGGGCCAGACCAAATGATTCCGGGGGCCTCATACAGTCTTCAGGCCAGACATTCCCCACCCCTGTTCTACAGCATAGGGATCCTTATTTCGTTATAGGAATCTGTTATGTGCAGCTTGAATACCAATCTTTTTTGATATTTTAGGTAGAGAATTAAGAAATAATGATCTAATTCATTCTTGTGCACACAACCTTAACAACTTGTGAGATGATTTCTTTAGGATACATTTAAATTCATAAGAATGGACTTGTTTACTCAAAACATATACACATTTTTAAAGATTTTTATAAAGCATATTGCCTAATTCATTCCAGAAAAGATGTGCTAGTTTATACTCCCACCAAAATTGTATGGGAGAATACATTTCTACACATGTTCAAGAACCCTTGGTATTATTCCTTCAAATTCTTGCCAATTTGATTAGCAAAGAGGTAAAAAAGCATTTCACTCTTTTTATTTGCATTTCTTTGATTTCTAGTGAAATTCAACATTAAAAATATTTTGAATTAGGCAGTGACACAATAGCTGTTTAGTTTTTAAGACTCAGAAATATACTAAATCAATGATGAGAAGTAACAATGAAAGAAGGTGTTCTGATTCCTATTTTTACTTTGCTATATTTGGCTTGCTGGAAGAACAACCTATTTTATGGAGCAGGTGTTATAGGGAACATGGATACATTAAAACTGGATTTTCAGTGGTTGAAAAGAATTTAGGGAGGATATATAAATTGAGAAACTTTTACTATAAATGCCACGATCTTTAAAAATTACAGAATGTCCTTATATTCCCCAAATTCCATACCACTTATCAACTGTAATAAAGAAAATACTTTTAGGAATTCTACTTAAAAATATAGCCTCTACTTAATCCAAATGTTTCTCATACTGTATCCTATCTAATAAAAGAGTGGTATGCAAATTGACCATCACTCCAACACACAAGATGGCCACCCCCATGAGGACACAAGATGGCCGTCAGGGGAGGGCAGTTAGGGACAATCGGGCTGGCAGGGGAGTGGTTGGGGGTGATCACACTGGTAGGGGAGTGGTTGGGGGTGATCAGGCTGGCAGGCAGAGCAGTTGGGAGCCAGCAGTCCCAGATTGTGAGAGGGATGTCCGACTGCCCGTTTAGGCCCGATCCCGGGATTGGGCCTAAATGGGCAGTCGGACTTCCCTCCAGGGGTCCCAGATTGGAGAGGGTGCAGGCTGGGCTGAGGGACACACACACACACACACACACACACATGCACGAATTTCATGCACCGGGCCTCTAGTCTATGATTAATTTCTTTAAGTGATAATGCTTTTTTTCCTTTATTTTTCCCCAAGGAAAAACTGGTCTACTTCCTGGATTGTCCTTTCAAGTCGAAAAATTGAATTTTACAAAGAATCCAAGCAACAGGCTCTGCCTAATACGGTGGGTAGTTTTCTGTTTCTATTGTTCATCTTTACAGAAATACCGTTGAATTAAACATTTGGACTTATATGCACAGCCCATGGACACGGGCAATAGGTAGTGAAGATCTGGGGCAGGTAAGGAGGGGGTGGGAGGAGGGGGGGATGGGAGGTATCTGTTATATTATCAACAATAAAAATATATTTTTAAAAAGTTTGGATTCAGCAAAAATCACACTAAAACCTCCAAGCTACTACCATCTGAAAGCAGATGGAGGAAATGGCTCAATAAACTTTTAATCAGATGAAGGGAAAATAGAACTTGGTGTCTGTTTTATTAAGTGGTGCATTTGGAGAATAATCACAAAATAAGATGAATAGTGAGTAGCTATCTGGTAATACGAAGGTAACCCTTTAAATTAAGGTGCCATTTATAAATGCTTTATTCTTATTTATGAAATGATCACTAAATGCAGCTACTTGCTCTAATAATGTATTATAAAGGGTGTTATAAAATGCATTAGTAATAAATGCTTAACGGATGAGACTATGGGAAGCTGTTTTAAAGAATATTATAAGACGTAAATCGTATTAAACCATGTATGTGCATCTTTAATACATGAATTTAAGTTGTTATCTAGCATGCTATAAAGTGCTTCACACATTAATAAATAATAATAAACTGTTTATAAATGGCACCTTAATTTAGGGTGCTACCAATGAGAAAACACTCTAAGTTAACAAAGTGATTTTTTATCTTAGTCTAGCTGGGACATTCACTATATCCCACTAACCTTTCCGAATATATCTATGACTCCATCTAATGGAGCTAACACAATTTCTGTATCCTCTGGTTATTACAAAGTGAAATTTGTAGGGTGTCTTGATTGTACCTAGAGGAGGGCCTCACATGTGCCCACAGGGATTTGACAGTGATAGTAAGTAGGAACAATTTTGTATTAGTTACTGGGGCAATTCAACCTCTAAACCTTGCTGCCCAAACACCAGTGCTGCCACAGGATGTTGGAGACAGTGGGCAGGCAGCGTATCTGACAGCCTCCTGATTAGGAAGGCCTGCAGGCAGGAACCCACCTGCCATACCCCATCGGCCTGATGGGCGGCAGGGAAAGGGGTGCCTGGCAGGAGTCAACCACAATGAACTAATTTGTATTTGGCAGGTAATGAAACGATGGAAAGTTCTTTGCTTTCCAGCCACTAGTCGTGTATGCTATGTGATCCTCTTTAAATAGGAAATAGAAAATCGTTTGCTAGGAGACATTTTTATTTAAAGGAGAAGATTTTAGTAAGAACAAAAGGTAGCATTTGGCCTGCTCCTGATAATTGCAATAGCCTTTATCCCCAAGTGGCTTGCTGCTTTTGGAATCTCGGTGCAGTCCAATCTGTAAACTAATTATGAATAAATTAAAAATATATCTCAGCCCTTTTTATTTTTAATTCAAACTGCCTCAGAAATTCGTTTTAGGGTTTTTTTATTTTTATTTTTTGGCCACAGTAAGATAATCTTTTTAAGAAAAATAAAGTATCCCTAAGGGCCAGGCACAAAACAGCCCCCACCCCCTCACAGGCCCTTTGTCTCCCCTTGAATGAGTTCTAAGGGGAAGGAAGTTAGTCAGGGAGGGCGGCCGCTTGCCTAACTGAGTTGGGCTGCTGAGAGGATGATCTTCCTCCTCCCTGGTGACCAAATCCCACTGGGGCAGAGTTTATGTGAATGTGCTGGGAAAATGGGGGTGATTTGATTCCAAGTTGAAGCATTTGGTTTATATTTATTATTTTAATCTCTTCGTATGAGAAGATAATTATCAGCTGTTTAATTTTAAAGCTCCCTTTTACATTATAGGAAAACCTTGCAAGTCAGCTCACTAATCTCATGCCTCCAGTTCAGCCTTCGAAATTGTTATACATTGACAATAGATTTTCCTTGAAGAAACTTGTTAACAGGTTTTGGTGGTTGTTTGGCAGTCCCTACTGATGACTTCTGGCCCCGTTTTCAATGATCTTACGGTTTCTCCTGGGCACTCATTGTCTTCAAAGGGAATTTAGGGCAGGAACCAACTGTGCTCTGTGGTAATTGGGGGAGAGAATTACAGATTTGTGTTTGTGCTGCATGAATTGTCTTGCTAGTCAACGTCTTGGATACATTTCTAACCAAGCATTAAAGGCCTAGTGGGATAGCCCACATTTCCCAATTCCAGCCTCGGAGAAACGATATGATGATTGCCAGGCCTTGATTAAAGATGCTGTGGTTTTGTTTTGAAAGAGATTTATGCCCCAATTTCTGAATCTTTCTTGTGCCCCCTTACACATGCCCTGGTGTTGTTCATGTGCTTCTGGGGAAAAGGCTGTCCTTCCTTCCAAGAGGTCAGTAGAAATTGCCTGAGTATGTGCAGATGTGGTTTAAAAGAGTAAGTGGCATTTTAATCTTTACAGGAATGCTCTTTGAATGCTAATGCAGTGGTGAACTAAGCAACAAAGTAGCTAGGAGCAGGACTTTGAAGTTCAACCACAGTGAACTCCATTCTAGTTTTGCCATTAGGAGCTGACCGTTACCCAACTTCTCTGAGCTTTGGAATCCTCATCTCTAAAATGGGGATAGTGTTATCTGCCAGCATAATTAGTAAGGAATGGAATTAGTTAATAAAATAAGACACATAGTAACCATAAAATATGTACTATATTCTATGATAATGTACTCTATTAAATATATGAATATATTTATGATGTTCTATAGTACATCACTTAGAAAATTATTATAACTCAGTTGTTCCCCTATGTTAGTTTTACAATTGAACTGATTCAGACACGTACAGAAGAGAAAATCTATTAATTCAAGTTTCACCAGTATGTACATCCTCCAAGAAGACAAATATATATACTCATAGGCAGCATAAAATATTGTGTCTGAGCACTGAATAATTCTGAAAATGAAGCCATCCCTCCATTCGAGGCTTTAGATGTAACCTCCTGCATGTCCATATACATTTTCCTTCATTGACTCTTCCCCTTAAGGTGTTCACATTTAATACAGAATGTCACAAAATGTTGTGCCTGATACCACATTCCATGTTTGGCAATTTTTCATTCTCACTGACGTTGTTTCAGTTCATTATCATGTCACATTTTTATTGAAAGTTGCCCTTCCCCTGAAAATAGACACAGAATCACTTTTACTGGTGTTTGCAAATTAGACATTCTTAGGCTCTGCACCCTCCCCCCCCCTCCCCCCCCCCCCCCCCCCCGCCCCGGGAATTGAGTCCACAACCTAGGCACGAGCCCTGATCTAGACCAGAACTCACTATCTTTTGGTGCAAGGGATGATGTTTAATCAACTGAGCCAGGCTATTTATCTCTTTTTAAAAGGTAATTTATTCATTTTATTTTTAAAATATATTTTTAATTGATTTTAGAGATGAAGAGAGGAGAGAGAGATAGAAACATCAGTGATGAGAGAGACTCATTGCTCACCCTGACTGGGAATCAAACTGTGACCTCCTGGTTTGTCGGTTGGCGCTCAACCACAGAGCCATGCAGGCCTGGATATTTTTTCTCCTACCGCCATTTATTCCCCCCCATACCCTCTTCCCCCTATAACACCCCCCCCTCCCGACAATCACCACACTGTTGTACTGTTGTTTGTGTCCATCTCTCTTCCTCTCTCTCTCTCTCTCTCTCTCTCTCTCTCTCTCTCTCTCTCTCTCTCTCTTTCTCTCTCTCTCCCCAATGTCTATGCTTTTGCTGTTTGGTATTTTAATTTATTCTTTTTCTTTTTTTTGACACCACTAGACATTATTCTCTTTTATAGAGTCAATGTTGGTTTCCATTTGCCCAATATTTACAATGTTCTTTGCTATTTATTTCTTCCTGCATCTTAGACCTTCCTTCTAGGATCACTTTTCCTTCTGTTTAAAGTGTATTCTGAGAAATTCCTATAGTAAGGGTCTTGTGGTGACAATCTGTCTCAGTGTCTGCTTGTTTCTAAATGTCTCTATTTCTCCCTTAGTCTGGAAATATATATTCTCTCTGGATATAGAATTTTCAGTGGGCAGTGGTTTTCTTTTATCACATCTAATATATCATTCCACTGTTTGTGTGTGTGTGTGTGTGTGTGTGTGTGTTTTCACATATGTTTTGTTTGTTTGTTTTTTGAAATTTGATGTTTGTCCTTATATTTGAGTGGACTCAATATCATTTTTTACTGAACTCAGACTTAGAGGTAGAAACTTTCAGAGAGGACAGCTTATGTCTCATGACAATTTGTTCCTGACATTTTTCTTTGACCTCTTTCATTCTCTTAGCAGAAAGTTTAACATATTCTTTAGCCTCTTTCTCATTTTATGCAGTGCATTGTTTCTTCAGAGCAATACACCATTTGTGTTGCAGTACACGTGGAGTAACAAGACGCTGAATCTTGGGTGCTTTGGTCTGAGGTTCCTACTGTCTTTGTATAGGGCTTTCTCACAGCATATTGGCAGACATAGTCTTCTTTAGAGATAGAAGAGTTTGCAGATTCTGCTAGCTCTCTTGGGCCCCAGGCATTGAGGCACAGTAGTATCAGTGAGACCAGAAATATCTTCCTACTCCTCTTTTAAACACGAGTACATTAAAAACACTGAGATTGGCATCCACAATGCAATCCTGAACAGATTTGCACTTTCTCTCTCCAGTCCACCTTGGTCTATAACAGGAGTGCCCCTTACCCAGCAGCAATCAGACACTCTCTTCTATGGGGAAACCTTCTGTGTCATCCCCACCACTGATTTCAACCACATAACCCTTCCATTCTTCACCCAGAGCGTCAGCAGCAACTTCTGTGGCCACACACTTCTCGTAGAAGGTACAAAGTGAGTATTCATCATCCACGTCAATGAGTGTCTGGCAGCCTGTGGCCGGGAAAGCAATGCTCAGTTTCATTCCTGAAGCAGCCAACTGCCTCTGAGGTGCCACAAAAAAAGAGCACCACTGCTTTCTGTCATTTGTTACTATGATCAAGAAGTTAACTGCTTG